AATTATCATATAAATAAAATTCAAATTTAAGCTTTAGTTCACTGCATATATTATAATTATATTATAATAATATATAATATATGCAGTGAACTTAAGCTTAATTAAAATTTCACTTTGTTTAAAAAAGTGTATTTTCCAATTACATTTTACCGTGTCTCTGATATTCAGGTGACGGCTTCCAAAGAGTAAGGCTGGGGTATTTCAGATTAAGATTTTGATACTTTCTGACAGCCTATTTATTATTTAACCAATTTAAACTTGCCATCAAAGCACTGAGGTGTGGAAAATATTGCATGTTTGTTAAAGCCTCCTTAAAGTCATTATTTTCATATTGTAGCATTTTTTTTTTCTCATACATAGACAAGACACAAATATTACAAGTTTATAGTAACTTAAAGAAGAAATTTCACCAGACTGACCTCTAATTAAGATGGCATAGAAGGGGAATAACTCAAAAGGAAATATCATACGAAAACTATCATTCCATCGATCTATACACAAAACATTTGTAATGTACTAGGTCTTGAAATCTCAACAGCATTTACTGAATTTACCAAATGAATGTACATAGAATCACTTTAGGATATTCCATACCAGGGAACCAAATTTTGACCCTTCATCCTTTGTCAAAATTTTTAATGCTTCAATTAATGCTTGGACCATGTGCAGAAACATTAATAACCGCTATAAATCTATTTATGGCTCTGTTTGTAGCATCTTCCACTTACTTCCAGCATAGGCACTCCCCAGCTTAATTGTTAAAAAATATATATCTACTATACTATAAACATATGTTTTATAGTATAGTAGATATATATTTTTTAACAATTAAGCTCCAGGGGAGTGCCTATGACTTCCAGGGTTAAATTCAACTTGTATGATAAATTAACAAAACAAATTCATTCAGGAAATGAAATATATAGCATCATCAGCAGATTTTGAACTCCATTGGAAATTCACAGTATAACTAAAAACTCACTATATAAATATAATTCACATTTAACAGTATAGTTTTCCTAAATTCATGAATTGCAGCACTGCTTAAATTGATCTCAGCATGCTCAAGAAAAGCTGTACGTACAGCCTGAAACAATAATTTGACATATGAAACGATTGATGTTAAGTGGGCTCATTTGTATGTCTTGTTAATTTTAAGATCTGAGTTTCATCTGATTGAGCTGAACATTAACGTTACAACTCAGGGAAACCTATCTCTGAATCTAATGATGTAAAACCTTCAAGTCTACTAGATCTATTGTATATATAGTCCAATATTTCTTTACATCCTTGTCAACATGATGTTGTCTGTGTTTCTATTTAGCATTTAGAAGCAAGAAACCCTATATGCACATAACACTATAATACAGATGTTGTTAGGACTATGTCGCAAAATAGTCTAGGGATTCCGTAAGAAGTTAGTTCGAAAAACTGAAATCAACATCTCCCCAATCCGTCAATGAAACAATGGAAAATACATCACCGTTCACTGATAAGATTTCTTTGACTTAACAGACATTTACTTTAACAATAATTCATAAAAAGACAGTGATTAAAGTGCGTACAAATATATTTATATCGGTCCCGTGTAGGAATACCACAATCAACAGAACTTGTGAATGAAAAACATATCACTGCGCCCAGTACTCATTTTCTGAGGAAACACGGACGCACTACTCAGAAATTAGCCCGCATGATAAGAGATTATACAGTATTTCAGAGTTCAAAAATCATTGAACTTTAGTAATTAAGATATACAGAGTTCAGTAATTCTCACCAGTTATATTTTCTACTTGAAGCTGTGTAGTATTTTGTCCATCAAAGGACATATTTTTCAGTGCTAAGTAATCAAAATGGCGGTGATGAGTTTAGAAACGAGGGCATTTTTGGTTTAGTTCAAGTGCCCGGATGTTTTGAAAGCGCGGCATTTTCAAAAGTTTTAAAGGGGGATAACTTTTAATATCAAATTACTTAATCTTTACTTTTATTTGAAATACATTATTTTTACAGAGTGAAACAATATTAGATAAAAAGAAACAAATGTTATAAACTGTTTTTCACAAGGGTTTCTTATAATTAGACCTTATTTTGAAATGAAAATTGTTTTAAAATAATGCAAGATTATTGAAATGAACTCATGTAAAATGTTTTGAATTATTTAAAAGTTAATTGGTATATCATGAAAATCTCTTTAAGTCTGCCATCTATGCAAGAGTCAAAATCTTTATGTTTGATATATCAGGGACCTAAATAGTACAGTGTATATCTATAGAGGATATTCTATTTCAATGTTTTGTAGATGAATATGGAATTTATTTCACGAGTAGGATAGGATATTTTTTTATATTTTCAAGAGTGCGAAGCATGAGTAAATTTTTTTTAAAAATCCTGTCTCATGAATTAAATAAATTCCATATTCATCTACACAACTTTGAAATTTCTGTTTATTACATTTTCTTTGATTTTCCCTTTGACTCTGTCTTTTTATAACACGGTGTCATAGGCTGTGATGTCATAGTTGAGCGGTTGAAATGTCATAGCTAAGTGATTGCAAGATTGAAAAACGTTACAAACATGGATTTTTAACTTCATACATGTATTTGGAGAAACTTTGGCAGTTTTAGTCTCTGTCAGGATGGTTCATTTACTCTCTATCTTATAACAGACCAGCAAGTTTTTCTTTTTTTTTTTATAAAATACTCTTCATGATGGGAAGGAAAATCTCGAGTTTTGCCACACTTCTGATATTCTCACTCTGTGAGAATACCATTTTGATATTCTTCCACACTGTTTCAAAATATCACTTTTATTCAGTAAATAATTAAATTACAGTACATGTATTTCACTGTTGAAAATGTAATAAATTGTGCCAGTCAGACGGGTGAGAACTATCAGGGCCAGATAGCTCAGTTGGTATATAGAGCACCTAACTGGAGATTCAGGGGGTCCGGGTTCAAATCCTGGTCTGGTCTGTCACATTTTTCTCCCCTCCTATTACAATATACTGTATGTAAATATATTATAGTATATAAGTCCCTGAATATACCACCCAGAAATGAAGAAGGGGGAAATCTCTTCCTCACCCATAATCACAGCAGCTTATTAAAAATTTGGCTTTTTAAAAAAAAAAAAAAAAAAGAATTCATGAAAAAACCAAAATTTTTAATAAGATATTTTGTTTTGAGAGTACATCCCTTTATAACAAGTTTGATGGAATTAAGTATTTGAGTCCTGGAAAAAAAAACCTATCAGGACACAACAATATGAATTGGGCTTGAGTAAAATATGAAATTTATTTTGTGATATGTCGACTTGTCAGATAATAATCCTCATGGCTATAGAAACTCAGTATCTTGATATTAAAGTGTGTTATTGCTACTACCTGACATCAACTGACATCATGATAATATCTGATTTCTGATGACACAATTATCTGAAAATTGACATAATTTTCTGAAAAGTCAACTTGTCAGATGTTTTAGCAACTTGTCAATTAATGATGTCTTCTTGTCAGATGTTATGTCAATTTGTCAAATTAATGTTGACTTATCGGATAATTATGTCAACTTGTCAGATATTTTGTCAACTTGTCAGATATTTTGTCAACTTGTCCAATAAATGTGTTGACTTGTTGTATATTTATGTCGACTTATCAGATAATTATGACGACTTGTCAGATCCTATTGTTGACTTGTCAGAAAAATACAACATCAACTGGATGGCACAAACTGGGCATGGACACATTTTCATGTTGAATTTTTAAACTTCTGAATAAATGACAAGTCGACAAAAAGATCTGAAAGTCAACATAATTATGTTACAAGCATGAATTCATCATAATTTGGTCGCAATGAAATATGTTTTATTGTTGAATTACTGAAATTCTTGAAGTGGTGTTCTATAATGACAAAATTAAGACTACCATTGAAACATAAATTTTTATAATGATCAACATATTTAACAGTTTAAATATAACATTAAATCTCAACTCCAGAGAAATAAGAACAAGATGCAACAATCAATAAATGCTGATGCAACAAGATTGTGTTGTCAGTGCTTAATCTTGAAAAATAATTGTTTGAAGGAAAAGAATTAAATTCAACCAGTTTTGTACATGTATTACCATGCACCCAAATTTATACCTAAACAAATATATATGCAATAAAATATTTTGAAGGGAAATACCTTACTCAAATGTCTATGTTAAAATGTCATGTAGCAAATGACATGTAATTATTTAAGCTTCCTTTGATACTTTTGGTAATATCATTTATCTTTTCTTTTTATTTCAAGAATTGCAAGGGCCAGAACATCTAAAACACAGAATAATTAAAAAAAAATTTGTAAGAATAGAGACATGAGCAATCCTAGTTATTATGTTGCTTTTCGTTGATAAAGTGTTGAGGAATTTTCAGGTATTGAAGTTTCATGTAAAATGCGTTTTTATACATTTTCAATAAAAATATCAGTAAGACAGACACAGTTCAAGAAATAACAATCTAATATTGCACTGCAATTTACACTTGTTCTGTGTAAATACAAGATCATGGATGAATCTCTTCAGTTACTTTATCTAAAATGTCCAGTGTACATTATCTTTATTCTTGCAAAATGAAAGAAAAGAATGGTATCCTGGTGTACGATTTGCATGGCCAGATCTCTGCCATGTGATGCCTTCCCACTGTAACCAATGGGTTGATGGTAGAGTTTATCTTGCCATGTGATGTCACATCCTACCATTGTAACCAATAGGTTGATGATAGGTTATCTTGCCACGTGATGTAACTTCCTGCCACTATAACCAACGAGTTGATGCTGGAGTTCATCTTGCCATATTGTGATGTCACTTCCTACCACTGTAACCAATGGGTTGATGTGGAGGTTATCTTGCCATGTGATGTCACTTCCTGCCACTGTTACCAATGAGTTGATGGTGGAGTTTATCTTGCCATGTGATGTCACTTCCTGCCACTGTAACCAATGATTTGATGGTGGAGTTTATCTTGCCATGTGATGTCACTTCCTACCATTGTAACCAATCGGTTGATGGTGTAGGTTATCTGTCATGTCAGGGGGATGTGTTATCATGCAGATCTTGCAGAAAGTTCCCTTGTTGGGTTCTTCCTCCCCTGAGCTGGATTCACTATCTTCCTCTGAAGAAGATATCTCAATTGGGAGGCAGCGTTTGTTGGCACAGTAAGATGGGCATTCAAAAGGGCAACATTTCAAGTCCAATTTTTTACGAACATAGTATTTTTCTTTGATGAATTCTTTGTATCTAAGGTAATCTTTCATAGTTTCTGGCAACTGAAGACTGTCTATTTTTTTAATGCCAAATTTACCAAGATAATGAAAGATGCGTCCACGGCAAAGTTCCTTAAGAGATTGCACTCGTTGAGATTCTTTTTCTAACCACTCAATTATATCTGGCCTTCTGTATATAGAAACAGGCCACTTTTTTCGCTGTAGCCATTTTTCATTGAGAAATGTTGGTTTTAATGCCACCATGAATTTGAGTACCTTCATCTGATTTTCATTTACAGCCATGAAAAAGTATGATGGTCCTCTCCATTTTGCATCAGGGACCAAACTACAACCATAATGAATCAAAGTAACTGCACATTCCTCAGAATGAATATTAATGGCGTGTTGGAGAGGGGTCTCTTTCCATTTGTACTTTTTGTCTATGCGATAACCATACTCCAGAAGTAATTTCACCATTGCAGGAATCTGCTGCTCCACAGCAACTGTCATGGCAGTCACTCCAGATGGGCTCTTGGAGTTGATCTTGATTCCATTTTCCAGCAAGAGTTCACAGATATCATATCTACGATATGCTACAGCATAATGTAAGGCATTCAGTCCACTTGTTGTTTTGGCATGTAGTTTGCAAAGAGAATTTATAAGCAACTCACAAATTTCTTTGTTGTCCTTTTGAATAGCTCTGAAAAATGAATAATTTTATTTTGTTATTCTAAATATATAAATGCATTTATCATACTTTACTTCCATATAGAAAAATGAGTAATTTCAGAAAAGAAGATCTCCTCAGAGTCTTACTTGATTAGGGGAGTTTCAGCACCAACACCTAGTCCTAGAATCCTGAGATTTATGTCCGCTCCAGCGTGAATCAGAAGCTGGACTATTTTGACAGCATTGGACAAAATGGCTCTGTAAAGGGGAGCACATCCTGTGGGGAAAATCATTAGTATTTTTAAAGAATATGTGTACCAAATAGTAATACATGTACTACATGTACTAACTCTGGTCGAAGGTTGCTGTATAGACATCCAAAATACAGGTATACAATTAGTAATCTGTATTTGAGTGACTTTTAATTTTAAAATACTGGTCTTCTTCAATCAGGTACTTTACATAATTGCTAAAATACATTATATATGTACTTTTGTACAAATACTATATGAAATTGATTAATATGCCTATTGATAACCATTACATGTAATATGTTAAGGTCAGAAATGTACCAAATTTTAGTTGCAGCAATTTATGGGTAGGAACTCTTTTAGAACACAAAAGGCTAAATGATGCTGTTTGACTTTAAATTCTACAACATACTGTTCCAAGTATTTACAGCAATTTTATGGGATATAATGATCAGCATATTGCGTACCTGACTCTTTATCAACAAAATTGACTTCACATTTCTGTTTACTGCAGTTCAGTAGCAGATCTGTGATTTCTTCATTGGCCCATCTAGCTGCCCACCTGAAAATTAGTCAAACTGCTTACCAGGGGTGTAACACTACATCAGTACATTGTTGTACTGTGATGCAGAAGGAGTCAATATCGAAGTATCAATGTTTTACAATACTTTCCAAAAGTACAATGATCAGGTTTTGGCCTTATAAGGAGAGTATATGCGTAAACGATATGGTGGAACTCGTTAAAAATCCAAAAGAAAAGTAAAATTTCTTTCTCTAGCAATTAAAAAGAAAAATTTCAAATTTTTATTTAGCTTAAATAGTTGGGTTTTAGAAAGTTCAAAAGACTCTTAGAATAAGATAATTTTGGGGAAAAAAAATGCTGGCATTAAATTTTCCTTCCTTAATATAAAAAAAAAACAGTTATGGAAAAACCACCAAATGTAAAAACTGGATATATCATATATGATATATTGTGATATTTTTTTGAAATATGATACTTTTTTCCTCAGGATACACAGCTGTACTGTTCACTATTTCAAAATAAATCTATTTGCAACAGTGTAAGAAGTAATTTAAGGCAATGTATGAATTTAGACATTCACAGACATAGATATTCAGAATGAATTTTTTTCTTTTTACAGATTAAAAATGTACACAAAGGATGCAGCAATAAAGGAATTAAAGATTCAAGATAAAAAAAAAAAAGAATTAGATCAAGCTACTGATCAGAATGTGGAGAATTCTGTCATTGCAACTGCATATGATTTGCCAATTAAAGTATTTTCACAATTACATACAGAAAACGGAAACATTTTATTCAGTGTTAATGAATTGTATGATTTGTAATGATTAGAACAATTACCAGATGGGTCTTCTTCCTTTGATGTTTTCATCATTAACATTGGCAGGTTTTGGCTTTGCTTTCAGTAGTAACTTTACAAGCTCTACATCGTTGAGTTCTGTAGCAATAAGTAACGGAGTCGGAAGTAAATGATTGTCAGTATCACGAGAGTTTACGTCCACTTTTCCCTCTTTAAGCATCTTCTTAATCTTACTATATTGACGTTCTATCATTAGGTCAAAGAAGTCTCTAGTGTTTGGATGAATATCAGGTTTCTCTTTTAGAAGCCTCTGGAGTTGGTCATTTGGTGGAGAGTTGATCACCATGTCTGTCTGTGAAATTAGGTTCTGCCTCTCAGGTACGTGGGGACGAGGCACTGCCAGAGGATCCTTGTTAAAGGCCACTTTAGTGGGGCCATTTTGGGGTTTACCTTTCCCCATCCTTAACTGGCCTCTGTTATTTGCAGTAGCAGACTTAGCCCTGCCTCGGCTGCTTTTTGGCCTGAAATTAAACATTCAGTTTTGTATAAAAGAAGGATGCTGAATTTACGTATTTGGCAAATTAAATGAAGACTGCCAGGTGAAGCTCTTTTTGACTGATAATGTTCTAATGAGCATGCATGCACACTTATGAATGATTTTTCATTGACCAATTACACATAAATCCAACAAAAATACGTGAGAAAAAAATGAATACCAGGCAATAAATTCATTTGGTCTGTAAATCATATATTTAGGGCAAAATTTAAGTAAGAAAATACATGAACCTGCAAAATATCTCCAATAACTGTAATCCCAAAGATTATACATTGTATTAAAAAAATTAAACTTCAAGTCAGACCATGCAAATTCTGGCAACAGTATTTAAACAGATTATTTATCAAGGGCATGAAGTCATCATTGAATTGATCTGACTAATTTTTATAAAATTCTCTCAATTTTATGTTCCCACAAATCATTTTACCTTTTAAACACAGTTTGATTTCTTTGAAAGCTCACGTTCATGTATGTACAATACCATCAACCACCATTATGAATTTTATAATTTATCACCTATTCATTACAATATTGATTTTAAAAGTAAGCTTTATCCCAATTCATCCAACAATCTTAACTAAAACATGCAGACTTAAGTGTTATGCCTTTTTTATTCACAAAATTGCCTCCATTGTGCGAATTACAAGCCATGAATTCTATCGCCCTTAGTAAAATTGACATTCATTGACAACAAAAATCGAAGGAGATTTACGAATGTGTACATATGATCCCTCACCATTTAATTAAAAGATTCCGAGATTAACTATCTTCCTTACTCTATTACAAGGCTTTCAGCACAAACAGTTTAATACTAATATTTCAATAAGTAAATGTATGAGAGAACTTTTATATCTATAGAAATTACAAATATTGAAGAATAAGATGGATGATCATCATATTCAGTGAAGTTTCTGCATCCATAATGCAATAATAAGAATCGAATGTTTGAATAAATGTTATCCTTTTTTTTTTAATTTGTTCAAATTAACATGACGTATAAGATTAAAACATACCGCTTCTCAATCATATCTGCCGAAGTCAAAAATCTCTAACAAAGTTCCTCTTCAGCCACTAGCATTCTAAATTCCCAATGAACTATCTAAATATATATATATGGTGCACTGATCACCTTAGGTGATAGTGGGACAAATTTCATCAGATCCTGCACACTCAGAATGCATAAAGCCTCACCTTGGGAAAAAATTTAAAAAGTCAGAAAGCACCTTAGAGATTACTGAACAATTCCTATGAGTTTGTATCAACACAAAAAAATCTCCCCCAGGTACTTTCACCACTCAACTGTTTCCTTGTAACTTGTCCAATTTCATTGATTATAAGATCTACTTTCAGTAACTTCAAAACTTCAAAGTTCCAAATGACTGCCAAAAGCAGGAGTTTATTCTTTTCCTGTCAGACTTAAACCCCCCTTTGACATTCTTTTAAAGGTATAGTCTCAGTTTCAAACTGCACAGGTAAATGCCAGTGCTGGGAATTGAAGGTGCACACTGTCAATCTATCCCTTAGAAGTGATATGAATTGGGCCCCGAATGGTCATTTAAAATATCCGTTACCACGTTCTTCAAATAAAATTGACTGGCTGGCACTAAAATTCGATACCTGCTTAAGCCTTTAAAAACAGAAGAGAAAATATTGATAGGGTTCAAAATAGCTGTAAAATAAATCTTGACAAAATATCATTTTCTTATGTTTCAGGTATTACGTAAACAAACTTGTATGTCTTTCGTCTATCTATCAAGAGCAATATTTGTTTTATACCTGTAAAGAATCGCTAAATTCTCCCAAAGAAAAAGTTTGAGGTAATATTTATTGTTATACATTGTACTATGTATTGATCATGAGCACTTGATGAATGGTCAATATTTAAACAACATTTCTGAAATAGAAATGACAAACAAGATGATTTTGATTGTATAGGGGTGGGTGATCAATTATTCACATCCGTGAAAATTATTGATCATTTAAGATAGATTTTATGAATTTATGTAACAAAACTAATCTAACAGAACTAAAACTTCCTGTGGATAATTGCTTTTCCTCATGTTGACATGTTGCAGAATTAGACAATGAATGCTAATTATCAAGTTATTGACTTGCAAAAAACACAAATATAAAAATACAAACCTTTTCTTTTGCTATTGCAATCATAGATTTTGGTTGGAACAAATCCCCCTTTTTTGAACAAAAAAGATTGCATTGGGTTATATACTAGAAGGAATAAACTTGGAAAGAGATAACGGAAGATCAAGTCTTCCTATTAATTAAGACATAAAGATGGTACCCTTTTCTTTATAATCAAGAATTCAGAAAGAGCACATAAAGTGAAGAAGGGTCAAATGTCATTTTTTTTTTTAAAAGGATATATTTTTTTTTTTTTTGAAGAGAAATAAGTGAATACAATAGTCAAAAGAGAAATGAAGTTTTGCATAAAATCAAAAGAATGTACACCTAGCTACTTGTAGATAATGAACAGAATATTTTCATTATTATGCACATTGAACGATACAATGCTCTTGAAAAACAGTGAAACAATTACGGTTGTGAACTCTCCTCTTTCTGTACCTGGTAATTTTTTTTTTTAATTTCTTACATGAGATTTGATAAGAAAAAAAGAATTTCCCTAATAAGGCTTAAAATTACTGGTGGAGGCCATGCTGACATGTTTCTCAAAGAAAACAATAATGAGAAATTGACTTTTAAATCAGTAGGATTAGATTTAATCCAGTGGCTTATAGTCAAATCATTTCTTTAACATGTTTACCGTAAAACCCGGTTATAGTGAAGGCCTAATTACTTTCCTATATCAGTAATTCTTTATATCTGTATTACAAATTTGTTCAAGTATATTTATAGGGAATTTACATGCACAATTTCTCCTCAAGTATAACCAAATATGTTCAAGCAGGGAAGTTACTGTATTATATGCAAAACTTGCATGAATTAAATTTCAATAAAAAATACCTGCAAAAAATAATGAAATTTTGTGATCGTAAAAGATTTGTTATAAAAGTGGTTTATTTTGTTATTTTACCTCTACAGGACACAAAATCAATTCACTATATCCTTAAATTTGTTTTATTTGAGTTCATTATAACCATAAAATTTGAAGGAATTAAATTGTTAAGAATTTTGTTGGGGATTGAAAAAAAATTTATTTCCATTAATTTGATATATCCATGTTCGTACTATGTATTAACAAGTTTTACTGTATACTAGTACATACAGGATCTGTGGTACTCAACATGTATTTACAATCAGTAGAATACTGGTCATAATTACCATTTTAAGAGTATATAGAAGTAGATCAATATATCTAAACTTAATATGTTTACTCAAAAGGAAAACTTTTTGCATTATTTAGAGACTTCACAGTGTCGGTGAGACAACATTACTGGTGCTTTATTTACTAATAGCAGTGAAACAATCTCTCAAAGATATATTCTAAATGATAGATAACTGATATGTACCAGTAATAACTGGAATGGACACAAAATTTTATTTATTTTTCATTTTGAGTTCAGAAAGGAGTATTGAAATATTATTTTAAAAAGACATTATAGGTCACTACCTGTGATTAAGGAATATTTTTTCAAATTTTCAAAAAATTAATTATCATAAAGTTGATTTTTTGAATACCGATACATGTATGCAATGCATGCAAGCACATATTTATGTATATGCTCATGTCTGTCTGTTTTCCATCTGACATTAAAATGTGGAAATAAATTCTTTTTCAAGGCTATACATAATTAGCATCCCGCCATCTTAACTTAAGAAAAGAATACAAAGTCATGGCAATTAAATTTCTTCCATTCCTAAAAGATACTTATCTCTCTAAACTCTGCTCAGAAAAATTTTCTACAATCAATGAAGAATCTATCAATTAAATATATACTCTCATATTGACATTCCCCTTTTAGAAGAAACAGGTTGAAATATAAGCCTCAGAAAAATTTAGTTTTGTTTGTCAATCTTATTAAATTTTAAGCTGATCATGGGTAACCATAAAATCTACATTTAAGACAAGATTACTGTGACAAGATTTGGTTAAGAAACAAAAACACATTATTGCGTTTCAATGAAAACTGGACAATGGAATTAAATTACATGCTTTTTGACTTCAAGGTTGCTATTGCTATATCAAGGGTTTATTTTTTCCTAACATAATGTCCAAGAATGAACTACAAGTGTCTGTTATATGAAAATGATGAAGGGTCAAAAGTGAACAAAATTTTAAAAAGGAAAAATAAAAATTTTGTTCTGAATTAGTTGAGTTGTACTAGTTTTTATCAAAATTCTTTACACAGTACGAAGAATGTAAAATTGTAAAAGCTTCAGTCCAAGAATTTATAGAAATTTTATATAATTATTAATGTTCAAAGAGACATTTTTTTTATAGATTTTTTTAATAGATGTTAATTTAGTTATAAACTTTTGATGCAAAGCTCAATTGGACACACAAATTCAATTTTTACTTTATTAAGTTCTTAGAAACAACTTCTTTGAACAACCTTATCTAGACATGAAACAGAACTTTAGTAACAGATTATCACAGTTATTCTTTTTTAAAGTGGAATGAAAACAAACCTTTTTACTTCCATCTGAATAATGTTTTCTAATTAGGTAAAATTTTCCACGATCCTCTTTGAAGTAATCCGTTGGTTTTCCATGTTGCAAAATAGAACTGCTGTCACAGCACTGTCATATAAACACTGTATCATCTGCAGAATGAGATCTTTGTCCAATCATTAGTTCAGAAAGGACACAACCTCTCTAAAACAAACTTGTGACCCATGATAAAGTTGACAGTCTTTGAATTAAATCACCTTCTCTCTGCATTTCTATTGTCTTTTTGAAGCTTTAACACACTGGTTAAGAATTTGCCTGTCGTTGTATTTAGAAAGTTGATCCTATCTCCATTGTGACAATAGATATGTTGCAACAACATATTTTTAAAAGTCTCCATTCAATGATCGGCTCTCAGGAGTACATGGGCAAAATCAATCATCGGGAAAAGCCATTTCTCTGCAAGGACATGAAAATATGTAAAGGGAGAATTTCTTGCTCTAGTCAGCCATATCTGAATCAATTCACCTGATCAGCCCAATTTACATTTGCTTTCAAGTTGCTTTTTAAAGTAGGTAATTAAATGCTAGGACTTTTTGTTGCCTGATAAATGAAGAGTGCAATGTACTCTAAAGAAATGTATGTGATAATTAACTTGGAGTGAACATTATGAATTAATATACATCTTGATTAGTTTGATCAATGTCAGAATGCAAGTGGGGGAGATTTTTCAAGTAAATGTTAATTTCATTTTTTTGTACTCTTTGTCAATATAAAGTATATATTAAGAGTCTAAAAATTAAATATTTAAGCTTAGAATAAAACAGCAATAAACTAAAACAGAGAATAGGTTCTTAAAGAAAAAGGAAAAATACCATATTCACCCTACTTAGCACCCAAGATATTTGAAAATGGGTTAAAAGAAGAGGCTTATTAGATTAGTCTAGTAAATTATAACTTGACTGAAATGGTTAGATTTACACTAAACACATCAAAGTACATGTTAAGACTGGTATATGGTCAGTAATTCCATTAAATGAAAGACTGCGTAAATTACATAACTCAGGTCAATTAGCAGATGAAGTCAATTTTATTTTAGATTGTAAAACACTGAGTAGCACTAAGAAGAACCTTTCAGTTTACATCAGAATTTTGAGAATTTTTAAGGACAAATATGGTAATCTGGCAAAAATCTGCTGTTTTTCTTCAATTTTGGAAATAAATGCTGTAATGGTGAATTTCATATTTTTCAACTCTGACATCCAAACTAGCAGGATCCACTAAAGCTAAAGTATAAATTGTTGTTGATCATTAATGTTAGTAAAACCAGGGATTTTGGTATCTGGAACCTCGATCTGTCAAAACTTGGGATATGTTGAAGTGAACACCCACTGGTCTTGAATACACAAGTTAGCATCTCAAGATTGATATCCCACACCTGAGGATATATTTCAGTTTTTGACAGTCCAACCATGTTCAAGATATTGAGAGTTGACTGTATTTCAATGAGGTGTATCTCAGTGCCATTTTATTTTCTCGGTTTTTACAACGGACAATTAGGTTGGACAAGAACTGAAAATTTAATGCTTTTCCCTCACTATGGTTATTTGTCTGTCTATTCAAATTGCTTACTAGAGTTTGACAATTATATAAAATTATACACATATCAGAGATTTTATCGGATATTAAAATTGGAATGTATTGAACTATCCTTCAAAATCTGTCAAATTATCATTATAGTTTCAATTCTTCTTTGGTCTTTGAATTTAAAATTGTGCCATATTTATTTGGATGCTCTTAATATTAGTAATGGCAGGCAATTTGTCAGTTTTTATATTATCAATATTCTAAAAAATTGAAATGTGCAATGCATAAAGTAGTTATATAGAAAAGTCTAATTGGAGAAAAATAACTCCCTTATTATTATGACGTATGAAACACCTACTCAAGCATTTACTCACATTATTTACGATAATTGCCCATTAATTTTACTTGGTCTTTAATTTCCTAAGTCATGTCAAACAACTGATAACATAAAGATCTTTAATTCTATCAGCTAATAACAGGCCTTTCAGAAAAATAATCTAAGATTTTTTTTTCATTGAAATTGAATAACTGTATACCTTAAAGTCTCAGCTAAAATCTTTGATTGATCTTGGATTTGTTTAATGTCAAATTACACATTTCTTTCTTTTTTCAAACATTCTCTGTGATAAAAATTATTTTTGTTCTTATATAGCTTATCAATATCACAGCTAACCAACAGTGATCGACAGATCAATATTGAGAAAATGGAAGAGATGCCACCTTATCGATGCCATTCCAAATAGAATGCGACCCTGTCAACAGCACAATGATGGTTTCCAACTGCTCTGAAGTACAACCACCCTTAAGCTCTCAGGTGTTGTTCTAAAAGTACTTATAATCTTCTAGGCTACACATGTCCGGAAGAAATATTAGCCCTCTAATATCACTAAACTGTTTTACATTTACTGCAACAAAACAGAATGAATCAAGTACATGGTGAATAAATATTAGTACATTGTAATTTATGTCTTCTACATTTCTGACAGTATCAAACAGATGTACTTCATACCTACCTGGATTTGAACAACAAGTGAAAAAATTATTAGCCATATGTTTCATCAATGACAATTTTCAAATAAGCTTCTTTCCAGATAAGATTATGGTACCATCAACAAATGGACATATATTTGTGCTTAAGAGGTGTTAACACTGTGGAGCGTGGGTAAAACTAAAGTTTAAAAAAAAAGTTTGATTGTAATGATTTATCAATTATCTTGATCTAATATAGTCCAGCATTATTGTTAACTTATAACTGAAATAATAAAAGAATTTAATAAACATTATCAACAGAGATTGTTTAGCCAGATTATTCATATAAATGATAGAGGTCTATTCTCTGTAATGTGACAGGGACCCCAGCTTATCTATATATGGCTCTGGGGATCAGATTGAATTGGTTCACCGTAGCAATGAGGTCCAGCCTTATCTATATGCCACCTGGAGACTGCCAGCTTTAATCAGATTGAGGGATTGTTTGAAGTGTTTTTAATGGCGTAAGATCAGTACCAATGATCAGTTAAAAATACATGGGTAAGGCAAGGTTCTCCTGTTACAAAAAGTGGGTAGCATGCTTCCAGAAATATCCAAATTTTCCAAGGAGGGGTAGATTTGATGGAGGAGTTAAAACTTGTTAATTCTTAAAAAATTATTGAGAGAACTGGAAAATGCTTAGAAATGTACAATTTTTAGAATAACAAAAGTACGGATTTTTAGATTTGAAACCATTCCAGTTCTACGGATGAAGAACGTTGTTTTTGCAATGGCTAACTATTGTAGTGAAACTTTGTCTCGACCATTAATTCGGAATTTTTGGCTGGAATAAATTCTTTAATGCTGTATGTTATTACTCAAGACTTGAAATGTATCAAGGTTACATCTCACAGCTTAAACTTAGCCAATGAATTAAAGTCAAGCTGTCAAAGAAACGTCAGTTTCAAGAATTTTCATATTCAGATGTATGAAGAAATCATATTATTGTAATGCAATTCAGAGACCATATTGCGTACTTATCCCTGTTCATAAGAATAAAACTTAACAAATATAAAAACCATACTTAATAGCTTATTTTACACCAAGTTCCCAGTAAAACTGGCCGTGATTCACAATGAATTTTCATATTCAGATGTATGAAGAAATCATATTATATAATGCAATTCAGAGACCATACTGCGTACTTATCCCTGTTCATAAGAATAAAACTTAACAAATATAAAAACCATACTTAATAGCTTATTTTACACCAAGTTCCCAGTAAAACTGGCCGTGATTCACATTGAATTATCTGATCCCAGAAATTGGAGCCTATAGGTTTTCTCCCTCTTCCTGCATTTGTCTTCATAGGAACCCCCCCCCCTCCCCCCTTCATATAGACCGATTCGAAATTTTTGTCATGAATTATCTGCCAGTGTCATATTTGTGATATAATCCATACCATCAATTCGAAAATTTTTCTAAAACCAACATTTTATGAAAATTTCTACCCACTAGCTAATCCTGTAGATTTTTCTATCTAATTAGAGAGTGTGTAGAAATTTTTATGAAATGTTTGTTTTAGGTATAAATCTTTCGAATTGATGGTATGGATTATATCACAAATATGATAACTTATGACAAAAAAGTCGAAACAGCCCGGGGTCTATATCGGGGGGGGGGGGTCTGTCCTCAAGCACCTATGTATTTACACCTTAGAATTATAACCAAACACTTGTCAATGACGGACCAACCTATACATTGGGAAATATTGTAACTTGTTTTACTTTGCAAAATCCTTCACACAAAAAGACATGCAGACTACAAATCTAAATAAATTCAGATCTTCCATTTTCTCCCCGGTTTTCCGTATGTCGCGTGGAAAATTGGGGAGCGGATGCAAGATCTAATTTTAATTAGATTGGCAGACTATACATCTATTGAAACAAATAAAAGTATCTATCATAAGGTTGTTAGTATTTTATACTGCCAACAAATCAAAGCATTCAGGCTTCTTTAAGTTCATCTTATGCAAATTTGTGCCCTATCGTGGTTATAAAGAATTTAAATAAAACTGGGTTTAGGCCCACACACCCCTTTCCAGAACACTGCTGGTGACGATCGTGTGGCATATCTTGTAGACATTTTGATCATTAGAGAAGCAAGCACATTTTTTAATATATCTATACACATATTTGCTAGTCAAGGGTTTTCTGTCGCTCATTTATGGGAAGCAGAGCGGACTGAAAACCCCGCGGGCCCTGCCTAGCGAAGATCTCTACATTTCACTCAAAGTACGAGCAATGGAAGTTAATATTGCTTATCATAAGCAACACTCAGAAGTTTGTTGTTCTAGGTAAATTACAAATGTATTTCTATAGACCCCTCATTGAAGCTTGTTCCAATATCATTGTAACATGATAAAACCAAAGGTAAATCGTAAGACTTTGGAAAATGTCCTGTGTCATTCTATAACACAAATTAAGTACATGTAGTTAATTTGAAAAGTACAAAAGACGATTTAAAAAAAACAAAATAGTTATGTCAATATCTAATTTATTATGTCAATCAAATATTTACAAGTAATTACAACATGCAGATGCAAGAGGTACCTTGGCCTAAACGAACGTATCAAAAAATTTCATGTTCATGCCTTTGCAAATAAAGAAAAGAATTACCCCAGTGAGATGCAGTTACTATGCTAAAAAAAAAAAGAACGCGACTTTCTTTCATAGATACAAATACTGCTCAAACATCTGGAAAAAAAGACCTTTTTGAATAGAGCTCATAAACTGGCAGTAAGCCATTTCATTTTCAGACTCTAGATTAAATTACTCGTGTGTGGGCGATTTCATGACGCCACTCTTTGGCCAGAGAGAGATTTTTGTCCAGTTTTTTTAGTTCCTAATTCAGCTCTCGGTCTTATACAAAGAATGTTGTATCTTTTCCTCTGTATGACTTTGACATTGTTTTCTGCAACGGGTCTTAAAGAAACTTGTCTTCAATTAGTTATTCAAAACAAAGTAATCGCCAAGGTTCCGTGTATAAGAACGTGGTCAGGCATGCAAGATGAATAAAAATGACACGAATGGACTCTCGTACCTCATGCTTAAAACCTGACAAAATTGGTATATATATATAATACATGCATGATCTGATTTAAGAATTAAAAAAAAGCAGTGGAATACTCATAATAGTCATATTAATGACTCAGCTGAGCCAAAATTGTCTGACACTTGTCTCTGAACACTCGAGGAATCTCCTCACTAGAAACTGAACTTGCTGTAGTTTGGCTCTAGGTATTCTAGCGGCTTCCACTTGCGCTCATGGCTAAATTTCACTCGCTCTGACCATTCCAGCTAAAAAGAAAATAAATGATATTTTTTTCCAGGTGAGTTTAAATATACAAGGATCGGTTTATATTGCTCTTCCACACAGTCAGAGAAATTAGGTATTATTTTTTTTTAATAAATTTATTTCTGGACTTTAAGGTGAACATCTTGGTTTCCGAAGATGATTGTGTCATATTGTAATTTTTGAATTAACTGAGTGGTAGTAAATACAAAAATTACAATATGACAACAAGTTGTCATATTGTAATTTTTGTATTTACTACCACCCAGTAAATTCAAAAATTACAATATGACAATTGCATGATAAAGAAAACCACTTACCAAGTGAGAGGGGAATTTCAGTTGATGAACCTCTCTGCGATCAACATCCATGGTCGCATAATACTGAAAAAAACAGCATATGCATTTTGGTGAGAATCTTTATTAAATTTTTAAAATGACAACTTCTGAAATATTGCTAGCCTGCATATTGCTGTTAAAATATTTCTGTGAGGTCGCTTTTACTACTAATTTCAAAACAGTTTGTCTGCACGATTCTTACCCAGTTCTCAATCCTTTCCTTCATTTTATCAGGAAAAGACTTGGACGTGAACTGTTGCTAATAAAGACGAGAAGAGAGGGGATAGAAAACAGATCTGTATACATATAATACAAACGCAAGGAGAGAGAGAGAGAGAGAGAAAGAAAGAGAGAAGGAAAGAGAGAGAGAGAGAGAGACTTACCGAACAGTTGGTGTTGTCTCCGTGATGACGAAGATGGTCAGTATTGTGTTCCACAGTGCAGAACATTTGTCCGTCTGAATTAGAAGGCTGTTGAACCATAGATAGGTACACCTGGTTTTGAAGACCAACAAGATACATGGAAGAGCCATCCATTACTACACTGAAAGGCTGATCCTTGGGAGACAGTTCTGTTAGAGTATAAATACTGCTCAAGTCATTCAATTCTCCAAGAAAGTCAGTGGTTGAAAGAGTGTCTATAAAAAGCGTGTTAGCAGCAGATGGTTCCGACCCAGGAACTTCACTGACAGTCCCTGCATCACATACTTTCTGGAGATTTGCAAAGTCCTCAGTAACCATTTTGTCTGCAGTCTCACTGTCGCAGTGAAATGTGTTTTTTGTAGACGTACACTGTTCATTTTGAGGACTGACGTGAGACGAGGTGATGGGCTGATGAGGACGATGTTTCCTCCCGCCCTTCTTTCCTCGTCTAATTTTTCTTCTTTTTGCCTACAATATACAGCATATTTTTATTTGGAGGCATTAAATGATACCTCAAATGTCCGAAAGCTCTTTTGTCTCAACCAAAATAATTCCAGCAGTGACATATCGCTACATATAAACAGGACCTACGATTTACAAGGGGATGCGGTGGTGTTTCAATACAAATTAACTTACTGTGTTGACTACTACTAACTGCACATATTCGGAAAGGGAAAGGTGTTATATTTTACAAGGGAAATGATGAAATGTTAGTTAAGCAAGATTTTTTTGCAGGGTCGACCCACTGGTTGTCTTGTATAGAATTAATTTCTGTGATTAACTTCATATTTCGAGAATGATTAAATCAAAATTGTATTTATGTAGGTAACTGATACCATTGCATCCAGCTCTGTACAAGAGTCCTCCAATGAAAGTCGTCGTTTCATTGTCAATTTTTAGTTTTATCGCAGAGATTATTTTGCACGTCCGTTCACTACTGAATGGCGCCGTAACTATGAGCTGTTGCCACAACGCAACAGCCTCATCCTGCATCCCCCATAGCAACGCGCATTTTTCATCTTTTTTTTTTTTTTTTTTTTTTTTTTTTTGCAAATTTAATTTTACATATCTCTTATCTTAAAAAATTGCTGTTTGTTGAAATAATTTGAAGGTTTTTTTTCTTAAGAAAAAGAAATATATTATCAGCAAATATCTGCGAGAGGTTAGATTCGAAACGCATGGAACAACTAGTATTGTAGAATTCCGGTATGAGGAATTTATTGCAATTTTACTTTAGAAAAGATCAAATCAACGCCCTCCTCCTATTATATTTAATATACTTGCTTACTTACCTGGTCATATGAACCTAACAAATTCCTAACACATTCATATCAAATGACGTTAAATTTACCTATGCGCTTTACGTCACAGGTGATGTTGATCAATGCGCGCCAAAATCGGTATGCTTTTCCGTGGATTTGTAGAAATGTTGACGATAAGCCAATAATGTTTCTTGCGAGGGTTTGGCATGAAATATTTACTTTATTTGTTCAACCAGAAGGGGAGAAAGTGGGAGGCACCAGACAAGGGTTCATTTAACTGCCCTTGTACCACGGCGTGTATTTTAGGCCCAATATCAGCCTATAACTATGCCGGTCTATATAGCTTCAAGTACAGTGTGAAAGCTTGATATTTAAAATATTTTTTTTAAAGGAGAGGGGAAATAATGTCTTTTTAGGAAGAATTTCAGTTGGGGGGGGCAAACATTTTTACTATAATTTTTTTTTTGGGGGGGGGGGGCATTACAAAGCAAAAATTCTTTTTTTAGCAAAAAAATGGGGGTCATTGAAGGGACACAGCATAAAGTAGCTTTGTTTTTATAGTATACTATACATGTATATATCGGCAAAATTATAGCCCCGCCGTTCCTTTGACCATGCTTTACTAAACGGAGAGTTTACATTTTTTTAAGCATAGTTTATTTTCCGGACTATCTATAGCTTCCAGTTTAATTTATATTTTACATTTGAGGTAAAATATCCGGTATGTATAATTATCTAGCAGACGACTCGAAGTTCGAACTTTTTACGATATTTAATAGAAGGTATGAAACAATATTGAGCACTTAAAAATATGTCATTTATTATATTGATTTGAAATACTTAAGACTTCTGATAAAAATCTTAAAACAAACGTGAATTATATCTTTGACGAGAATTTCAACTTTCAATTGCAGAAAATTAACTTCCGCAACGATATGCAATTGTTTCGTATACAGGGCATCCCTACTTATTTTTAAAGATAAGTAGGGATGCCCTGTATACGAAAAATTTCCTCCTGAATTTGAACTTGGTACCAGACTTCAAGATTACTGCTGTACCTATCTATACACAACATTAGAAAACGAAAAATATGTAAAATTCATGTTTATCTTTATAAAAATGAGATATGTTTAAGAATCTGCCTTACGACCGTGGGTGTATGAAAATTGTTGTTAAAAGTTAACGATACCGTTTGTGGATAATTCTTATATTTTCTTTCAAGTGCACTAATGTGTCCTTAAGAGAATAATTTTGTTAGCCGTGCCTTTGAATTAATAGTTTATTTAAAAAAACATTCCATAAATGTTCATCTTTATATTTCGGCATTTATATAGAACATTATAGGTAGATTTAGCTTTCTAGGGTAGTATATGAAAGTGAGTGGGGTATTTTATCCCACAACACAACTCACAGAGTGAGCATCATCTGAGGACTAGCATATTATTGTAAATTTGCAACATTTTCAGATTGGTAGTTTCATGAATCAGCCTCTGTAAATGTATGTGCATGTCGTTCGAAAGGCCGTACCTTATACTCTTGGAATGCTTTTTAAAAAAAGGCATTAACGCTTTTTTTCAGATGGCATCTCATGATTTTGACATCGACGATAATTCCATCCTATCTCTAATTGATGATGTTATATTGTCCGTCATTCAGCAAATCAGTGACAACAAGCCACCAGTTCTGAGCCATTTCAACAGAGGAACCTGGCAAAACATTACATACGACAAAAATGTAGGTCTCTGTGTCAATGATGCCATGAAAATGACATCAGTACGTTTTGATTCCAAACTATCCCTAAAGAAATTCACTTTGATGATAAAACTTTTGTCAATGGTATATAGTCTTATTCAGACTGACAGATTCTGTACCAAGCGTGATTTATATTACCAAGACACTACATTGTTTGGAAACCAAACAGCATTAGACGAGGCTCTAGAAAATATCTCCTGCATGCTACAAGTACCAAGGTGGCGTCTACATGTGCTGGCTACCTCAAAAGGATGTATTGCAGGAAATTTGTCTTTTTATGATGTAGATGGTAACTACGTAGACTGTAGCAAGACCATGTCAGGGATCCAAGTTCCTAGTCATATTGCAGGAATGCAGCATATTCAAACGGATGCTGATTTTATTTTAGTCATAGAGAAGGATGCAATTTTCCAGCGTTTATTAAGCGAGGGATTTTGTGAAATAATGCGTCCTTGCATAATTGTAACAGGAAAAGGTTTTCCTGACATGAACACCAGAATGCTTTTAAACAGATTGTGGAGAGAGTTTTCTCCAAGATTTTTCATTCTTGTGGATGCAGATCCTTATGGAATAGAGATTATGTCCATTTACAAATTTGGATCCCGTTCTTTGTCATTTGAGGCCCCCATGTTGACTGTGCCTGATATGGAATGGCTGGGGGTTTTACCAAGCGACATTCAACGTCTACAACTGAAAGAAAATAGTCTTATAGAGCTAAAGCCATCAGACAAAAGTAAAATAAGTAACATTTTGGCAAGACCGTATGTTTCTGAATCACAGTTTCTGTACAAGGAACTCAATGTTTTGTTGGAACTTGGAAAAAAGGCTGAAATTGAGAGTCTTGACTCCATATCTTTATCTTTCCTTGCAAATGTTTATCTTCCAACCAAAATGAGACATAGTTCTCAGTAGCAGAGATATAGAATTTTTAAGTATATGTATTAAGAATTGGCTCAATTCTAAAGGTAAAGAAATGAATTAATACAATTAAGTTACACGAGTAGTGAAAGCCTCAAATTTTCATTTTGTATTACTCTCAAATTTTCTTTTAAAATTGTGCATTGTTTTTAACATTGTCATGTTCAAGGTTTTGGACAGGTAAATAGGTTTTTTAAATAGGAATTTAATTGCTCATCTGAGCCAAAAATGAGCATCTTTTCTGATTGAAAAATATCTTACTTCTGTCTGAAGGTACTTTATTTTTTAATTGCCATGTGTGCATGTGCTTGAACATTTTCTTGGTGTAAACATTCAGTGACAAACAATATCTAAAATGAAAAAAAAAATTATGGAGAGATGTTGATTTGCATGGATATTTATTTCAGATGAAAGCTTCCCTCATTCCCTAGACAAAATCTCACAAATATTTTTCAAACTATTCATTTTAAGAACTTTTCTTATTTATTAATAAAACTCTTAGGGATCCAGGCCCGTAGCAACAGTCTCAAAAGGGAGGGGGGGGGCAACTTCCCAAAAAATCTGACAAGCAAAAAAACCTATTTACCTGTCCAAAACCTGGAATACAGCAACAAAAAGTGGGGGGGGGGGCGCCAACCATCATCTAAAGGAGAATTTACTATAATAGAAAAATACTATACCCAGGAAGAGGAGGGCGTTCTACGAGTCTGGGGATCCCTCTATCAGGAACGTATCCTGGCGACAGAAGAACGACAGGGTTCCAATAGTCAAGTGCCTTGAGTCAACATACCAATTTTAAGAATTCAAATGGTCATCAAAAAATTCTATCAATACTTAATACATGTACCTTTGAAATTCAATTAGCAATATTTCCATGATTTATCATTTCTCAGGACAATTTTAGTGAAAGTTTTAATAACTCAGATGAGAAAATTATACAAGTCTTCTTGAAAAAAGTTAAGCATCCGTCCTGAAAATAAATATATATTAAAAACTGGTTGTTATTTTGTGTCAACAACCATAGCTTTTTAAGCCCCTTACGATTTAGTTGAATACAGTTCACTATTATAGTAAACTGTAAATAAATAACTATTGAGAAAAAAGAACTACAGTAATTCATTGCATGACACTTTACAAAGACTAGTATCCAATTATCTTCATTGAATTTGATTTGAATTAATTTATTTATGATAAATTATATTATAATAAATTTATGATAGTCAATGTTGTTTGAAAGTAAAAGTTATATCTTTTTCGCCCCCCCCCCCCCCAAAAAAAAAAAAACAAAACAAAACAAAAAACAAAAGAAGACAAAACAAAAACATATTTTGAATATCTTGACTTTTCTTAAGGAAACGTTTTTTAAAAATTGCAAGTTTATATATAATACTCAATTCAAATGCTATAGAAAGGAGATGTGCAAACAAGGCGTGGGAAATGCCGATGTTACATAATCATTCAATTTGTGAATTTAGTGTCAACGGTAAACACATTGTCACTAGCACTTGAACACACGTGGTCCCTGCCGATCAGATATTTTTGGTCAGGGAAAATATCGAAGGTGGAAACGACACTGGTATTTGCCTGATTAGCAAATAAAACGTTTCAGAAATCGAACTAACTATTGTCTTACATGAAGTAAATATGTTCATGAATGTGGCTTCATTACTAACATCAAATTTATTACATATACATTCTAGTTACTGATCTTACATCTTTTAAATGAAAGTGGGGGTGGGGTGGGGGGTGGAATATGTATAATACATTTTTCAATATATTTTAAACAAACGTAGGAAAAAGGTCGAATTTTCCCTGATCAAATATGTTTAAATACGTACAATGAACTGGTTTCAACTATTTTAGATATAAAACTGATATATCTTAAATTTACACACACTGAACAATTTGTTTCTGTAGACAGATTATTTTCAAATCAGGGCCCTTTTAGGCCTTACAAATTACAAACACGATTGATACAATTACCAACAAGCACGGACATAATTATGTGTATATAAAATAATCTACAGTACATGCTTTTGTATACATTGAAGTTGGGTAAGTATTACACTATTAT